AATATAATAAAAATACTAAATATATATAAACATATAATGTTATGAGATTTAAGCTATTTCATCTAAACATTTATGTTTTCGTGTTATAATTTGTGTTCATTCTAGAATGAAAGATGCATAATTTATGTTTACGTCCTAATTTTTTTATGGTGGTTGCGAGATCGGGCAAATTTACCGAACCCCTACAGATATTAATTACTGAAAATATCAGATAAAATATAAAGTTTTTTCTTAAGAAACATTTTATAACGATTTGGACATTATAAAGATTTCAAAAAAGGCACGAGAGAAACATTGCTTTACAATCCTTAAAACTTAATAAGAAAATTAGATATTTTGCGTATGAAAGCATTGTAATGTTTACTGATAAACTGCCAAATTTTATTAACATTTGCTGACTAATTTAAAAGTTATAGCCTCAAAACTATAACAAGCACAAAATGGTTACGAGGTCGGCCCCACGGACCGAGCTCGGGTTGAAAGAGTTGAGGACATCCTTGTGTTGTCTTTAGGTAGTTAGGACAAAATTTATATAATTATTTTATGAGAAAAACATTAAAACAAGAGTAGTAGTGTTAGTTTAATTACACCTTTAGGTTGTTGTTTTTTTTTTTTTTCTTTAATTATTAGGGAGAAGATGTAGATAAACTTATTTGAAACCAGGTATTTTTATAATAATCATTGATTACTTTAGTTGAGATCAGGTATCCATAATGTTTGTTTAATTGAATAATCTCTTTTTGATTATTAGGGAGAAGATATTTGGCATCTGCTAGTAGAGACAGGTTGATTCATGTATTTGATGTTAATCAAGATTATTCCTTTCAACAAACTTTGGACGACCACTCCTCTTCCATCACTGCAGTCAGGTTTGTCCAAAGTACCAGTCAACTGCAGATGATCTCCTGTGGTGCAGATAAATCTATTATCTTTAGACGAGCACAGTTTGTAAGTGCATATATTTTTTCTTTAACTTAGTATCTTAGAATATTTTGTATGCTTTTAATTTTAACTGTATTCATATTTATAGTTTATTTTTTTCAATTAGTTTTGATTTATGAGAAGATCAAAAAGTAAGTTGTATATATTTTGATGAATACAGTAGTGCTAATCACTTTTTTTGAATAATATTTTGTTTCTTTTTTGGGGGGGAGGTATCAATTTCTTTTTGATGGGTTGTGTAATAATTTTAAAAAGAAATTAGTTTTTATTAATTGCATTTTGTTTTCTATTTTGAAAGAGTCCTCAGTTATCTTTCATGAGAGAACATCATGTGGTGGGTAGAACCACACTATATGACATGGAAGTAGACAGTGCCCAGAGGCACATATTGACAGCATGTCAAGATCGCAACATTCGTGTGTACAGTGTTAATAACGTTAAAAATACACGCAGCTTCCGTGGATCCCAGGGAGAAGATGGAACACTTATCAAGGTAGATAAAACATGATCCCCAGTAAATAATTTGTCAGACAGGGTTGATTTTTTATAGAGAAAATTGTTTGTTGTTTTTTTTATTGGGATTAAAATTAACTGAAGTAAATCACATACCTGTATATTAATTGAAAAAATAATTTGAAACATTTCATGACATTTCTCTAAATGTAACTTTTACAAACAACCTAATGGTTGTGTAAGGTTTAATTATTGGTACATAGTTATCATATTTTCAAATAAGTTGAAATACCATAATAGTATCACACTTTTCAAATAAAGTACTGAGTGTTGAGATTTAGTTTACACCATATAGTATCACACTTTTCAAGTAAAGTACTGAGTGTTGAGATTTAGTTTACACCATATAGTATCACACTTTTCAAGTAAAGTACTGAGTGTTGAGATTTAGTTTACACCATATAGTATCACACTTTTCAAGTAAAGTACTGAGTGTTGAGATTTAGTTTACACCATATAGTATCACACTTTTCAAATAGTGTCATATTTAATATTAACTGTAGACAGCTAAAGTGAACTTTGCTATACTGTATCACAATTAAATGATGGGAATTGAGATGCATTTCACAGTTTATAGTTTTATACTTCCATATTAATTTTTAATTTTTGAGATGTTTATGAAATGTATGAACATGCTTCCCAATAAACTATTGAGCAACATGATTTCACTATTTGGATATAGAACTGTACTTTTAACTAAATAATAATTAATAAATTTGTAACACCACAATAAATAACAGTTACTGGATTTCAAAAAATGGGATTTCTGCTAATAATAATAATATTCAAAAAATTGTCATCTGCTACAAAGGGCAAAAAACAAGATTATAATAGAATTTTGTTTTATTTATTCAACAAGGAAGTTCCTGTCACTTGACTTTATTATAAAGCATGTGATAAGTATAGCCAAATGATGAAAGTTATCTCGTTTCAGCTTGTGTTAGACAGTACAGGGACTTATTTAGCCACCAGCTGTACCAACAAGAGCCTATACATTTATGACTACTACAGTGGAGAATGTGTGGCATCCATGTTTGGACATTCAGAACTTGTCACTGGACTTAAGTTCACCAATGATGGGAACCACTTAATATCTGTTTCAGGAGATGGGTAAGCAAACTTTTTCTGCCTGGTATATGTTTCCAAAAATATACTTTTAAATGTTCTTCTTTTATTTATTTTTCTTGAAACTAATGTAAGCTATGAACTACATTTAACCTATAATTTTTTTTTTTCGAATGTAAGTGAACTGTAATTAGATGTTAATATTCTGTGGGGAGTGTATGGGGATCAAGACAACTGGTGATTTTACATTAAATGAGATCTAGTATGAATACACATTTATAAAGCAAAAAACAAACAAAAATATTTGTATTTTGTTTTCAGATGTATTTTTGTGTGGAAGCTTCCAGCTGAAGTAACACAGGCCATGTTATCTCGACAGACCCTCTCTGATGCCATTTCTCTTCCCAGTGTTTGGCAAGATGGGAGGTTAGACAATTTTAAAATGAACATGACGAAGGAAATTTACATCCTAAAAATTTGCATAAGCACTGAGCTATTTATACAAGTCTGTTTATCATACATATTCTCTGAAAGTGGTTTTCAAAAATTAATCTATCCTAAAACAATTTAAATATTAACCATTTTCCAAATAATTAGTTGGGTTATTGTTGTTGTTTAATTACCCAATTAAAAAAAATACCATAGATATAAACGTAACATATATATATTTTTAGAAGAAAGGTGTGGTTGAAGTTACTTTAAAATTTTAAACTTGAGTGTAATGTCTGTTTTTATAGGATTAGTTTTATGATTTTCGTTATTATTAATAATATTTGCTTAAGTGATATGTATATCTCACCAGGATCAGTTTTCTGGTTTATATTATTTTGATAATAATGACTTAAATTTAACAAATCTGAGGTAATAACGGAGTTTCACCAAGTACCGTTGGTTTCAAGTATCAATTATATTAAATTTAATGTTTATCCTGCCAGAATTAGTTTTATGCTTAGTATTAATCTAATAATATAGTCTTAATTCTGGCATATCTCTGCCAAAAAAAACACTACTACTGAGGTTGAGATTATTTGTACCATATAACTGAGACTCTGCGGGTGGTGTATGGCTTTGATATTATTGTAACAGTATAAACGGTGTTTGAGAATTACCTAACAGTGTAAACTTAAATCTGACACGAATCTGTTCAAGATCAGTTCTGTGATTGTGAATATTCTGACAACGTTTTAATTTAATTCTAACATGTATTTATTTTCTAGGAGAAGTGCTGTTGCTATTACTAAACCACTACAGACTCTGGAGAAAGAAGCTGAAAAAATAGAGATGAATAACAATAATTTCTCACCAGATGCACAAGAAAACAGTAGGGAAGAAAAGGAAGGAAACACCCCTGGTTATCGGTTCAGCATGGGACAGCTACCTTTCTGGGCCAAGAAACAGGTATTGTGCTGCAGAGTTATATGAGAAGCACATAGTTATTATTGATACCAGTGGCTTTTTTATAGCTGCTTCTGCATAAAAACCCAATAACTCATAAACCTCATTTTATTTACATGGAGTCAGTCAACCTCAAACAAAGAGCATGATAAGCATTAAATATTTTTTAACTTGGATTTGATGTTTCTGGTGATAGAATCATGATAAATCATAGGTCGAATGGCATCGTTTGATAGCTCACTATGTTGAAAGAACTTTTATATTATTTTCCCTGTCATTAAAATTAATATAAATAGATAGCATTCATTGTAGTGTATCTGATAATATCTCATTTCATGCCTGCTCAAAGTCCAACATAGTTTCAGTTGTACAACAGGAGCTTTCATAAAACACAAAGTGACTGCCGAAACTTGAACAAAATAACAAACAAATAGGGGATCTAATAACAATCATTTATTACTTACTTAATATACAAAACAATAAAAGAAGCACTATAGCAGTTAGGTTGTGAGAAAAAAAAATTTTAGCTTTCAGACAATATATTTTATTAGTTTTAGAAGCTTTGAAATTCTATTACAAAAAGTTCAGTTAATTGAATTGAACAGTTTTTGACACCATCACCACCTCGAAAAATCACAGTTTTCAAATTATTTAAGCTAGAAGCAAGCAATAACACATTCAAAGACCAAAGGTTTTGTAGCTGTTTCATATGTTGATATGTTTTATCTGCACAAGCTGAAAATATAAACATTTCTACCCCCAAATAAATACTATAATTGAGGGAGGCAAAAATCAAAACTGGGTTAACACTTTCGAGATGGGTCACGGGTGAAAGGCCATGTCATCTCTTTTGTTAACTCACATTCAAAATTTTATTGAACTACTATTTCATGAATTTATGCCAATAACTTTGGTATCAAACTGTAGATTATAATTCAAATTTTAGTACTATATATTACTCAATTTCTTAATTTAAAAAAAACACAGATAACCAATCAGAAGCTCAGAATGTTCATATTTTTTAAGACTAAAATACATTTTAGTTACTAAGCTTGATAAATTATGGTGGAGTTCTATGGTATTAATGTAGTAATTTATGATTTTTTTAGTTATTCAAATCTATATATAAAACCTAAAAAAAATATTTTGTTTCATATCCTCCACATGCAATTTTTTTAAAGGCTTGGCAACCTACATCAAGCAGCAACCGAGTACAAAGGTCATAACTAGAAGAGATAATTGTTTGCTTTACTTCTTTAGTTACTGTTCTATGTTTTAAG